CTAACCGGTTCGGTAGATTTGACAAACCGGTTCTACCGAATAGGTGTGAACTGGTAGGAACCCACCTCTGGTTGGGGGTTTGCCATAAACCTATTCTGATCTAGATAAGATGTTACCATCAAAACCAACATGTATTTTGAGAAAAAATTAAAGTAAGCTATAAGCCACAGTTTACAAGTTACAGCCTATGTAACTTGGAACTACAGTTAGTCCTATGCAACTGGAAATGGCTGAATCAGACAATATCCAGTTTATTTTAGCACCTTGCAATAAAAACCAGTCAGAATTTTTGTTAATATGGTGAATTAGAGAAACAACTGAATGATCTGTTAGTCTATCTTCTATCTATCTAGTCTTAAATGAATGGGTTTATGAAGCTTTGAACAAAGAAATTAAAAAATAATAATGTTTAGCAGTGTTTTAAGTTCTATAAAATCATTTTCCGAAGCAACTTTTTCAAGGAGTGGCTTTCATCCCAGAAAATCTGTGTTTGTTTTAAAATAAAAAGACACATTTTCAAAAGCAGTTGTGCTCAAAAAGGCAACAAGTTATCTCAGTGGGAAATGAAAAAAGGGGTGGGCTTTTTGTTTTGTTTTTACATATATGCAGTGCAGTGGTGAAATTCAAAAATTTCCCCTAGCGGTTCTGTCGCCGTGGCTTGGTGGTCATGTGACTGGGTGGGCGTGGCTACACAACTGACTCACACACAATGTAAAAGCAGCTGGACTTAACACAAAATGACCACTGCAACAAGCAGGCACCTCACAGACAATCAGGCACAGCTGATAGGTAGTAAAAAAAAAATGCTTTAAAAAGTAAAAAAAAAAAAGTTCCCACGATTGCCACAGCTGATTGTCGGATAGCTGATCCTTGGAACTTTTTTTTTTTACTTTTTAAAGCATTTTTTTTACTACTAGCTTGGGCGAACCGGCCCAAACTGGTAGCATTTCACCCCTGATGCAGTGACATGTGTATTAAACATGTCACTGCATCATGTCACATGAGGGGAGTGCTACAATGCACTTCAGGAAATGAGGTCTGGATTGGGGTTGGTTTTCTTTCTTTAGAGCAGTTTCAGTTACGTGATGAGAGTCTGTGGCCAAACCTTTCAATGGCAAAATGATTATTTTCACGCTAAGTTCCTACAGCGACATCAGACAGTTTCAGATGGAGTAATTCAGTGTATCACCTCCATGCCTTCCTAATAGGATTTTATTACCCACTTCAACATTCCAGTTCCAGACAGTTGTGTATCTGTCCTAGGAATGTGGTCATAAGATCCTACTATTAGAGAAAACTGTTTTTTTTTAAATTAATGTGGCTATCAATCTTTACTCATTGCTTGACCCTGATGCCCTGTTTTGGGTCATCCAGTTACCTACGCCTTGTTGAATGTGAAAATTATCCTGTTGTTTAAACACGACATAAGCCAATTTTCATGTACAAACAGGGGGATTCTTTCATTTAAAAGGGTTTCCAATGCAAGAACAGAATAAACGAACCCGCAGCAGTAAATATCTATATCTAAACTATGATAACGATTGGAAGAATTTCACTCTGATCTAAGAAACTAAAAACAAAAATAGAAGGAAATATTAATAGCTCAGGATTGAATAGTACAGTCTTTGGTACTCTCTGAGTTTGATTGTTTTCTTGCAGACATTTCACTACCTAATAAAATCATTAACCTAGTGAGTGTGACTTACTCCCTGTTTATATATAGTATATTGCCTTGCCAGTGTTGGTAAGGATGTGGTTTTCTCCTTGGCCATTCTTTGAATAGGATATTCTCTTTTGCTTGACTGTTGGTCTGGTTTTAATCCCTGCTTATCTGGGTGTTGGTTGCTGGAGAGGATGTCTTCTGATCTTTTCATTTCCTTCTTAACTTTATTATCTCTTTTAAGTGGTCTATAAATGTGACTTGTCTCTTTGTGTTTATAAGTTGATTGAAGATTTGTTGCAGGAATTCACTAGTGATTTTGGATTTAGCTTGATCTAGGATTCTCATCACAGTTCCCCAACTTAAGCTATGGTTGACTCCATGTGTTGTGAAATTAATTAATGAGTTTTCATTGTGTCTGGTGATTGCTGGTTGATTTTCAGAAAAGGGGAAAGGGGGTGGGGAATCAAGAAAAAGAATTGGGTATCTTGCACTTATTGCTCAAAATCCAGGCTTTCAAATTCTGCCTCAAAGTACTGTGAAAGTGTGAAGAAGTTCCGTGAGCGACTAACAATAACAAAATGTAATGTTTACTTGAATGCAGTCAATTTTGTATCATGTAGTTTTAACTCTTGATCAGGAATTTCAGGATATTTTTTTTTCAAATATTTGAAAATAAAAAATTGAAGATCCTAGAAGTTTGAAAATCCATCCCCTCGGGCATAACACAATTTATTTGGTTTTGGTATACTACATTGTGTGAACCTACTCACTTGTTGAACTTGATGCGTTCCAGTTAGGATCAATTATTATACATCAATTATTTTTATTCCTCAGCAATTAAAAAAAGATAGTAGGAACTTGGTTGCCCAGGACAAGGAATCTCTTGTCAGCCCTGTGTTGGTTCTGCATAAAATAGAATAATAGAGTTGGAAGGGACCTTAGAGGTCTTCTAGTCCAACCCCCTGCTTAGGCAGGAAACCCCACACCACTTCAGACAAATGGTTATCCAACATCTTCTTAAAACGTCCAATGTTGGGGCATTCACAACTTCTGCAGGCAAGTTGTTCCACTGGTTAATTGTTCTAACTGTCAGGAAAGTTCTCCTTACTTCCAAGTTGCTTCTCTCCTTGATTAGTTTCCACCCACAATTTCCTCTAAACCTTGCTATTTTCTTTTTGAAACCCTATGTGGGTCTCACACTTTCTGAATCACTTTTCAGGAACAGACGTCCTTGCTGCTAAAGAAGCAAGAATCTGAGTGGACCCAAGGTTATTTTAGAGTCTAGGAAGAGCAAATACACAGTTCCTCATTTAGGCAGTTCAAGATGCATCTTAAAGCATCTGCACGTAATTATCTCCTAAGCATTTTGTTCAGCACAATCACGTTTTCCTCCTTCAGGACTCTGCACTGCAGTTTTCCCCCCAAGCATTAAAAAAAAAATCAAAAACATTGCTTTATATAACAATCCCAGCCACGGCAGCCAATAATCCTCCTTGCTCCTTTTAAAGCACTATTTAGCTCCTTGCTCCTTTTACAGCACTATTTAGCTGCAGCCCAGCTCCTCAGGTTTCATATCATAAAAGACTTGAAATATTGGACTTAGACAACTTAGAACTTCGCCGCCTTTGGTCCCACCGAAGCGTAGCACATAAAATTATCTGCTACAATGTCCTACCTGTCAATGAATACTTCAGCTTCAACCACAACAACACACACAATAGATACAAACATATGGTAAACCGCTCCAAACTTGATTGCAGAAAATAAGACCTCAGCAACAGAGTGGTCAATGCCTGGAATGCTCTACCTGACTCTGTGGTTTCTTCCCCAAAACTTTAACCTTAGACTGTCTTCTGTTGACCTCACCCCATTCCTAAGAGGTCTTTAAGGGGCATATATAAGTGCACCAATGTGCCTACCATCCCTGTCCCAATATTCCCTTGTATTTGTATTCATTTCATGTATTCATAATCATGTTTATACTTATATATGTTATCTAATACATGTTTGACAAAATAAATAAGAATCAATAGATAAATAAAATCCTGCAGCTGGAAAGGAGGACCCCCAAGCATCATCCAGTTAGTCCAACTTTGGGCAGCAACATCACGATCCAGGTGGCTGCCCTGCCTCTTCTGAAGAATTGGGCGCGATGGAGAACACACCACCCCTGCAAGGTAGGCTGTTTGGCTCCCCTGCGCATCTTTCACCGTTAGGAAGTTTTTTTCCTTTAGGGGGATGCAAAACGTAGGAACCTGCGAATTATGCACGCGGCTAAGATCAAAGAAGGAAAAGGATGATAACCCGGAGGATGACAAATAGGACATTTAAGGAACAACCGCGAAAAAATGCTAGCTCCTGACACGCGTTTGCAGACACGCCCGGATGCACCTACGCGGTTCAAGTACGAAGTTCAAAGAAGAAAAAGGATGAAGAGAAATAGGAAGAGAAATAGGACATTTAAGGAGCAACCGCGAAAAAAATGATAGCGCCCGACACGCGTTTGCAGAAACGTCCGGATGCAAACACGCGAATCGAGTGCGGAGCGCAGTGCTGAGCAAACCTGGCAGGGCTCCACATGAGCAGCATACCCGCGTCCTTGGCCGCCCTTACCTCTACGGGCAGCCTGCAGGTGTCCATCGCCGGCCGGAGGTCATAAGATGAGCGAAATCACAGACGATGCGGAGCCGCCTCCAACGGCCGGCCCCGCCCACCAGCTCCTCCCCCGCGTTCCACGATCCCCAGGGCGACGGCGCGATGCTTGTCGGGAACTGTAGGCCTTCCAGAGGAAAGCGTTTCTGGACGGCGCTGATGTGACGCAAATGCCGCCGCGCCGGAAGCCTCGCTGGTGGTGAGTTGGTGGTGGACTTGCCTGCGTGCCCTGTAAGACTGGCCGGGGAGTCGCCATGGCGGTGAGTCGGGCCTGGGGGGGACGGGATCAAGCAAGGGCGAGCGCGGGGGGGATAGTTAAATCAAGATCGAGGAATGGGATAATTTTTAATTTTATTTTTAAAATATGGCCTTTTATTCCCCCCCCCTCCCAGCCCAAAGGAAAGGTAGGAACTAAAGGCAAAAAGCAGATATTTGAAGAAAACAAGGATACGCTCAAGTTCTACCTACGAATCATCCTGGGGGCGAATGTAAGTATGGGGCGCTGGATCTCGGGAGTGGAGTGGGGGAAGATGAGCCAGGGCAGCCTGCTTATTTTTGCTCAGAGAAGAAGAACAGAACAGAATTCGTTATTGGCCAAGTGTGATTGGACACACAAGGAATTTGTCTTTGGTGCAGATGTGCTCTCAGTGTACATAAAAAGACAAGATACGTTCATCAAGGATAATAAGGTACAACACTTAATGATAGTATAGGGTACAAATAACCAATCAGGAAACAATCAATATCAATATAAATCATAAGATACAAGCAACAAAGTTACAGTCCTGCAGTCATAAGTGGGAGGAGATGGGTGATAGGAAGGAAGAGAATAATAATAATAATACAGTCTTAGTAAATTTGACAGTGTTGTGGGGATTATTTGTTTAGCAGAGTGATGGCATTCAGGGGAAAAACTGTCCTTGTGTCTAGTTATCTTGGTGTGCAGTGCTCTATAGCGTCATTTTGAGGGTAGGAGTTGAAACAATTTATGTCGAGGATGTGAGGGGTCTGTAAATATTTTTACAGTCCTCTTTTTGACTTGTGCAGGGTATAGGTCCTCAATGGAAGGCAGATTGGCAGTAATTGTTTTTTCTGCAGTCAACCAAAACTGTTGTCATCATAACTGGTATTATCCTAAAAGAGGACCTGACCTGGGGAGCTCACATTGCAGCGCTGGTCAAGAGGGCTCAGCAGACATTATATTACCTGAGATTTCTCAGGAAACAACAACTGAATGAAAAACTGCTGGTGACCTTCTACTGCTGCACCATAGAGAGTATTTTAACTTACTGCGACTGTGTATGGCTTGCCAATGCACAATGGCAGATAGAACAGCATTCCAGAAGGTTAAAGTCATTGCCCAGAGGATCATTGGTTGCCCTCTTCCCTCTTGGGAAGAGATTTATAGCTCCCACTGCCTTAAGAAAGTTCAAGCATTCTTAAAGATCCATCTCATCCTGGGCACCTCCTTATTTTTAAACTATTACCATCTGGTAGATGGTACAGGATAATAAAAACAAGGACAAATAGGCTGAAAAACAGCTTCTATCCCAGAGCGGTAACTATATTGAATTCTACTGTATAGTGCAATATTAATGCAATATCAGGGGCTTTCAATTCAATGGCATAGAATGTGAAGGATGTGCTTTTTTGTTTTATTTTTGTAGTTTTCTTATGTATGATGTACACGGAAGATGGCATTTAATTTTGTGGTATGGGGTGCAATGACAATATTAAACAAAATCTTTTTTTTAAAAAATCTTAAAAGCTGCAGCTATAGCTTCCTCCCCCCCCCCCCCAAGTTGGGGCAGCAATAGCTGCTCAAGTCCCAGTCCTCAAAACCCTATTTTTGAAGGTAAAAAGTGGAGTTGAAGTTTGATTGGGGGACTTAACAAGTATAGATGGAGCCATGGTGGTGTAGTAGTAGTGCAGGCTACTTCTGCCTGCAATTTGGCAATTCGAATTCTCACCAGGCTCAAGGTTGATTGAGCCTTCCAGTCTACCGAGGTGGGTAAAATGAGATCCCAAAGTGTTGGCAGGATGCTGACTCTAAACTGCTTAGAGAGGGCTGTAAAGCACTGTAAAGTGGTATATAAGTCTAACTGCTATTGCTAGATTTTGTCAATCTTGGCGACTGGAACATGGGATCTTCAGTTCCCAGAATTCCCCGGCCAGCATTGCTGGGAGTTAGAACATAGAACATCATTGGAGTTGGAAGAGACTTGAAGATTGAAGTCCATACGTGTTAAAGTTGTCTAGTTTGAGAAATGGCTTTAAACAAAGAGCTCAATGTGTCTTCCTCCTTCGCTCTTATTTTGATATCGCTTCCTTTCAGGCCATTTACGGAATTGTCAACCTTGGGGTCTTCTACATAACAGCCACCATTTGGACATGGGTGAGTTCTATATATTTTCCGACTGTCATTTCTTTAGAGTCGGGGACTGTCAGTCTGTGTTGCACACCGAGAGTTGGGGGGGGGGGGGCGTGGAAGGTTGATTCAGGGGTGTTCTTTGTGTTTCACTCCTTTCTTCAAAGAAAGAAGTCTTTATCGACCTGTATAAAATATTGGCTAGGAGAATATTCATATTCAACTGCCATCCTTCTGTCTTCACCAATCCTCCACAACTGAGATTCTGTATCATGTGGGGGAGGGGGGTGTTCTGACCTAGGCTTCCTGAGAAAGCATAAATCACAATCTTAGTCCCCAAAACTCTCTTTTATTTATACGGCTATACATTATGGTCATTCACAGCCCACAAGGCTTCACAAACTATGTGAAGATTCTGACAGATGTCTGCTCGAGTTGCCACAGTCTTTCAGGGGAATGTTGATAAACACCCTTATCTCCCTGGGAATGCTGTCAGAGACCTAATTGCCAAATGCAGAGCAAGGACAAATTTAGTACAGAGTCAAACAGAACGTTTCAAAGCTTGAACCGACCAGATGAACTAATTGCTTCCTGCAAAAACTCACCTCCCGTTTGCTCCTCTTGTATGTCTTACGGGAGGGGCCAATCTTCTCCAAGCCTTACTCCCAAGTCGACCCTGTTTTCTTAATTGTTCTTGCCTTCTGGCAGCTCTGCGCATATGGGGACAGGCTCCCGCTGTTCTTCTGCTTCACTGATGTCAGACTCAGGAGTTCTCTGGAGGCAGCAAATAACTACCAGATGGCCTTGGTCCCCTCTCTGCCTCTGACACAGAGCCCTTATCTGACCCTTCCCCAGATTCCAGGACTGCCCTGTGTTCCTCTCCAATCTCCTCCCTGTCTGAATCTGCTGCCATGTCTCTGGCCGCTGGTAGGCCACAACAGGAGGCTCCGCATGTAACCATCAGTAAACCATTCTTCCATTACAGCTGTCTTAATCCTTAACAGAAGTGCTTGCATCCAGTTGTGCCCAGTAATCCTGGTTGAAAAGATTGCATCAGCTACAAAATATGTTTCTCTTCATGTTTATCTTTGCCAAGTACAAACCTTTGTGCGCTTCTCAAACTTTGTGTACTTCACTGAAGTGGTATCTCCAAAGTAGGAGTATCTCCAAAGGGTTTTACTGATTTTTTTTTCCTGGCTGATTTTCATATCCTCCCTTTAGGTTGCCTTTGTGTTCAGCTTGATGGTCTATGGGGCCAGCTACCAATCCATGAGGTCAATGGCCAAGCCTACTTTTGGAGAGGGCGGCAGCCTCGCCGATGGCGGGATTGATCTGAATATGGAGCAGGGAATGGCAGAGTGAGTGTCAACACTACCTAAGTCCAGGTGAGCAGATCCTGCTGCCTGAGCGCATACGTAGTTTTCCTTCATAGCTGTTCTGACCTAGGCTTCCCCCAAAAGCCGAGTCCTGGTCCCAACCAAACCCCTTTTATTAAATGAATGTGGATTCCTCTCATTCACATTCAGCAAAGGCCTGGCAAAGAGTCTTTCAAAGGAGTATTTGTGACCACAGAACTTATCTATCTTGGAAAGCTGCCATGGAAATATTTTCCAAATGAGGTGCTGTGCAAGGAAAGTCTGGGCACAGAGTCTCTGAGATTCAGGGACAGATCTTCACACTCCTGAAACAAATCTAAAGACGGAACGAACGAATTGTTACCTGCAAAAGCCCACTCCCCTTTCGCTCCTCTTTTATTTCCTATGGGAGGGGCCAATCATCTCCAAGCCTTACTCCCAAGTCGACCCTGATTTCTGAGTTGTTCTTTTCTTCTGGCAGCTCTGCGCATGCGCACACTGGGAACAGGCTTTAGCTGTTCCTCTGCCTCACTACTGTCTAGCTCCGTAGGTACCTGCTCACTGCCAGGCGGCCTCGGCCCCGCCTCTGCCTCCGACGCAGAGCCCTCACCAGAGCCTTCCCCAGCCTCCAGGACTGGCCCATGCTCCTCCCCAACCTCCTCACTGTCCGCCTCTGCTGCCGCCTCTGCTGGCCACTGGCGGGCCACAACAATAGCCTCAATCAGTGGAGGGACACACTGGTCCCAAGGCCACCTGCATCTCCTTGTGTGTGAGACCTCCCCAAAACATATTTTTAATAGAATGTTAATTTTTAACATATAATTATTAAATTGATAACAGATGATAATTGTGTTAACAATTGGGTTCTCGGTGTTCACTGAGCTTGGTTGTTTTCTTGCAGATGTCTCATTACTAATCAAGGTAACCTCATCAGTGTGCATGGGAGAGTGGTGTTCAGCAAACTCTGACCCTAAAGCAATCTGTTCCATTGCTGAATATCTTCTACTACTAAAAACATATCTTCTAATGTTCAGTTGTGATCAACATCCCTGCACTTTCTGCCTGTTAGGTCCAGTCCTGCCTCCTGGAATAAGCAGATGAGAAATCATCTGCATCTTCTGTGTAACTTCAGATATTTAATAATAACTCTCCAGTCTCTCTTTACAGGTAGTCCTCAACTTACGACCATAATTGGGAACCAGAACCTCCAGTGCTAAGTGAGGGCGATTGTTAAGTGACACGTGCCCGGTGTTATGACCCCTTTTTGTCAGGGTTGTTCAGCAAATCAAGGCAGTTGTTATGTGACTCATGTGATCATTAATGCAAATTCAGCTTCCCCCGTGGACTTTGCTTGACAGAAAACAGCTGGGAAGGCTGCAAAGACCATCCCAGGCCATCTCCCTGGGCGTGACCCGTCAAAACCGCGCTCGACTAAACCGCACCCGATTAAACCGCGTCGCTGACGTCATCAACAGGGCGACAACAGCGCGGAGACAGAAGCACGCTGTAAACCCTAAAACTAAAATTAACCCCTAAACCTAAACCTAACCCCCTAAACCTAAACCTAACCTTTAACCTAACCATAAACCTACCCCTTAACCTAACCATAAACCTAACCCTTAAC